CCCCCCGGTCCTCCCGATGGCCAGTCCGGGACTGGGTACAGGAGACGTAGAGCGAGGGATCATTGTCCACAAGTTAATCGATCGCAGATGGCGTTGTGGCCGTTAATATACCTGGGTGGCCCGCCCAAGTAAAGTCTATGTGCGCCGGAAACCCTGCAAACTTTGTTTAGCCATCCACCAAAGGCTCATAGTCAATGAGTCGTTGTCAGGGCTACCGCTAGTCCAGTTTTGAAATCCTGTTAAATGTGTGCTGGGTTAACTATGTGTATGTTCACCTTACTCCATATATTTGTAGATTCTGACTAAGGAAAACAAAGGAGTATTAAAATGTTCTGCGCTATGGAAGCCCATTTCCGCCACTTGAAAAAAATAAAATCCCCATGAAAAGTCATTGTGAGATAAAAAAAGTCGAAATTATGAGATAAAAAGTCATAATAAGATAAAAAGTCATTATGAAATAAGAAAGTCGAAATTATGAGATAAAAAGTCATAATAATGAGATAGAAAGTCATAATAATGAGAAAAAAAGTCATAATTATGAGATAGAAAGTCATAATAAAGATAAAAAGTCATAATTATGAGATAAAAAGTCATAATTATGTGATAGAAAGTCATAATAATGAGATAAAAAGTCATAATTATGAGATAGAAAGTCACAATAATGAGATAAAAAGTCATAATTATGAGATAAGAAAGTCGAAATAATGAGATAAAAAGTCATAATGAGATAAGAAAGTCGAAATAATGAGACAAAAAGTCATAATTATGAGATAAGAAGTGCGCATGCACTGCAGTGGCGCTGTCTTCAAAGGACCCTTAATCACCTTGCTGCTCTCCACCATGCAAACGGCATCTAGTCCTAAATAAGGTAACTATTACAGGTGACTTTTGTAAATTTTAGATGTTACATATAGCCTATATTGCAGCTAAACTACAAGAATGCAGTTCATATAGCTTTGAAATGACCTGTTATGAACTATAATATATATGCCTATAGTTTTGTGGTAACGTTCACGGTTTAGAGTTAGGCTAGCAACTCACAGCAGCAGTATGCATAAACTATTGTCATTAGTGGCGTGAACGTTAACACAAAACTATAGGCATATATATTATAGTTCATAATAGGTAATGTCAAAGCTATATGAACTGCATTGTCGTAGTTTAGCTGCAATATAGGCTATATGTAAAATCTAACATTTACAAAAGTCACCTGTAATAGTTACCTTATTTAGGACTAGATGCCGTTGTGCATGGTGGAGAGCAGCAAGGTGATGGGACCTTTGAAGACAGCGCCACTGCAGCGCATGCGCACTTCTTATCTCATAATTATGACTTTTTATCTCATTATTTCGACTTTCTTATCTCATTATGACTTTTTATCTCATTATTATGACTTTCTATCTCATAATTATGACTTTTTATCTCATAATTTCGACTTTCTTATCTCATAATTAGGACTTTTTATCTCATAATTTCGACTTTTCATGGGGATTTTAATTTTTTTAAGTGGGGAAATGGGCTTCCATACTGCACTAACAAAGAGTGCAGGTCAATTGGATTTATATTCTTAACAACGTTGAACCTTCTGTCCTAAATGAACAACTGTGAATAATTTCTTTAATTCATTACACTTCATTGATAGAGTCGTTTTTTAGATTTTGGACTTCTATCCTATCTTAAAATATATGCTTCTTTTGGTTCTGGTGTGACAATAGTGCTTGATGTGGAAGTCTGCACAATGCATCGCATTTGATAGAATTTGAGAGCAATTGTGCAGTAATTGTACTTGTACTGGGCTAAGAAAGGATCAGGAATGTTTACTTCTATACAGCTTACTACAGAGTAGAAAGCAAAGGCTTCTTG